AGCCCACCAGGGGGCGGGGCTGGCTGGCATGTGGTGCTGGGGGATTGAACTGCGGTCCCTGATGCCTTGCCAAGCTTAAGCTTGTTCCAAGTAGGTGCTTTAGACCACTGAGCCATCTCTCCAGCCCCGGGACCCTGATTTTTAAAACGAAGCCACAGATCCAAAATTTTCAGATTCCTTGCCTCATCTGCACTTGAGACAAAAATTTTAAGAGCAGGTCAGAAGAACAGGACATACAATCAATCTATTTTTTTTTTAACTTTATAAAACTGGTGCTTCCTTCTCCTTTGTTCCTGAATTCCAGTTCCACGTCCCTCCACCCACTTCCTGGCCTTAAACTCCTGGTGTGTAAACTCTGCCCTGCCATCTGAGCTGGAGACTGCATGGCAGTCATCTCTCAGCGGGGCGATGTCTCTGCTCCAGGGCCTTTGCACATCCCCATCCCTTTTACCTCTGTGTTCCTCCTTCTTCTGCCTTTAGGTTTTTGTTTGGATGTCACCTCCTTTTGTGAAGCCTTCCTTGACTACTTAAAATTAGATTTTCAACTCTTGTTCTTGCCTGTCCTGTCCTCTTTTTTTTTTTTTTTTTTTTTCAGAACTGGGGATTGAACTCAGGCCCTTGCGCTTGCCAGGGAAGCACTTATTCCACTGAGCCATCTCCCTGGCTTCTATCCTCTTACTGTCCTAATTTTGTTCATAGCATGCGTGGACATTTGGCCTACTTTAATTTTAGGTGGATTTTTTTGTTTTTTTTTTATTGTAGAACCAGGGATTGAACTCAGGCCCTTATGTTTGCCAGACAAGCACTTATTCTACTGAGCTATCTTCCTGGCCCTAATTTTAGTTATTTTCAAATTTTCTACATCAATCAATGAGAATGCAAGGTCTCATAGCAGAGGTTGTGCTGCTGCCCCTCCCCCTTTTGGTGTTTGATGCTTAGTGGGGGTCCTGGTGCTGAGTGAATGGCGCATGGTCTCTAGGTGCTAGTGAAGTTGCTTTTTGTCATGCAACTTTTTTTAACATTTATTTGTGTGTGTGTGTGTGGCCAGCTCAGCCCACCAGGGGGCGGGGCTAGCTGGCATGTGGTGCTGGGGGATTGAACCGCGGTCCCTGTGCTTTGCCAAGCTTGTTCCAAGTAGGTGCTTTAGACCACTGAACCATCTCGCCAGCCCAGTCATGCAACTTTTAAGTGGTGGAATCAGAAACTAAAGTCAGACCTTCTTACTCTGGCTTTTAGCCATAGAGCTCACCTGCTTCTGTTGATGGGTGTACATAATTCATAGGAATGTCAGGACTGTTTTACTCACCATAGCTGTGAAAATGCATGAAAGGGAATAAGCTAGAGTCAGGCAGACTTTGACAAGACTCTTGGGAGTGTGCTTATGCATCCTGGGTCTTCATCTGCCTATTTCTCTTTTGTTTATGTACCTTTAAAAAATGTATAATTTCAGAGGCAGGTGTGGTAGTGCACACCTCCATTCCTAGCACTTAAGAGGTTGAGACAGAAGGATCACTGTGAGTTCAAGTTCACCCTGGACTACATAGCAAGACCCTGTCTCAAAAAATTATATATACTTACAAACTTACAAAAATATTGCAATGATGATTAGAGTCCTGCCATATGCTTTGTCCAGATTTACAAATTTTCACATCTTGACAAATCTGTTCTATGATTATGTATGTACTATATTCATTTAAAAAAATCTTTTTTTTTAAATTTTTTTTAATTTGTGTGTGTGTGTGTGTGTGTGGCCAGCTGTGTGTGTGAGGGGGCGGGGCTGGCTGGCATGTGGTGCTGGGGAATTTTACTGAGGTCTCCCAATTGGGTCTTTTGGAAAAATGTA